ACACTCTAGCAATTACAGAAATTCAGAAAAAAGGTTTCACTGAAGTCATATCAAAAAGTTTTTCAAATCTATGAAATTCAAAGTCAAAGTAAACAAGCTGTATAGATCCCCAAAACAACCAGTAAAGAATTTTTCGACTGCACATTGAAGTAAAAAAAAAAAAAATCCAAGAAATTCTAACCAAACAGAAACACTAAAATATATTAGAGAAAAGTTAAACCTACAAAAGCAAGCCTATCAAAATAACAAGATATTTTCAAAACAAAAGATAAATGCCAGATCTTAGAGTTAGGTTTTTCATTTAACATATATTTCAACACAGATTAATATATCATGAAAAATCTTTTTTATACTTGACAGAGATAAAAAAATTCCATGACAAAAACTAAATAAATTCAGAAAACCAAATCAGCGTTGCATAAACTACTCCTGGGAGTATGAGATATACACAGAGGCACCAAAGTCACCAAAGAATCTGAAAGAACAACAAAAAGAATCTGAAACAAAGAATGCATCTAGCTGGGAAATTAGTTGGGAAAATCAGCAAAGGAAAAATAATGCAATAATAGAATTAAGCTAATTCCTTCAATAATAATTCTGACTTTAATTCATCTTAAAGTTTGATTGGGGAGCTAACCCAATCAAAACATAAAGATAAGAAGGTTGGACACAACCCAATTATTTACACTCTACAAAGACATATCACATCTATACGACAACACACAGACTGAGGTGAAAAAATGAAAAATGACACACCATTGAACAAGAACCCAAAAGCAAGCAGGAGTTTCTCTTCTGTATTCAGACAAAGAGGATTTCAAGCCAAAACAAAAAGTGACAGAGGATTATTTAATATGATAATGTAAATGGTATAATTTAACATCAAGAAATAATAATTGCAAATATATAAGCATCTTTTATTGGTGCACATGAAATTTCCTCAAGTTATTTTAGTAAAAAAAAGTTAGCTAAACATTGATGCTATCACAGCGAAGGGATTAATGACTCACTTTCACAAACAGACCCATCAACTAGACCAAAAAGCAGCAGTATGGAAATATCAGTTCAACAACTAATGAACAGACTTGAAACAACTTGCATACTATCTGAACATAAGGGGAAGAAACTAGAAAGCAACAGCAAAAAAACCCACAGAAACTACACAAACACACTTATACACGCAATTACACCCTGAAATGATCAATGGTCCAAAGAAAAACACAAAGGGAAACTTCAAAACTCCTCCACTCAAATGACAACAGCATCACAACACACAGAAACCTACAGTAAAAAGTAAAAGCAGTTGAAAGAGAGAAGTTTGTATCTGTGAATGCCCAAATTAGAAATAGAGTGATTCCTAAAAATTAATTTAATGTACATCTCAAAATCTGAGAAAATCAAGAACAACACATATGTAAAACTTGCAGACTGTTAGAAATTATAAAGATCAGAGCTCATTACTGATATTTAGATTAAACAAAAATACAAAGCATCAATGAATCAAAATGATTTTTTGAAAAAAATAAAAGACTGGTAACTCCTTAGCCAAATCTACTGAAAAGGGTAGGAGGAGTCTTTTCAGTGCAATTGGAAATGAAAAAATCAATATGGACAGCAGGAATTCCAGCTGATTATAATGAACTATTTTTGAAAATTTAATTTCAATAAATTGGAGAATCAACAAAAACAGAGATATTCCTAGACAAATATGAACTACCAACAATAAAAGACAAATGAAATGTAGGCAATAATAAGAACTGTACCAATCAGAAAATTCCTGGATCTGATTGTTTCACCACTGATTAAGAACTAAGGCCAATTCTCCTCAAATTCTTGCAAGAAACTGAAAAGAAAAGAATGCAGCAAAATTCAATTTTTCCCTGATGAAAATAGGTACAGAAGGACTTTACCTCAAATTGATAAAAACCACACCTACAACATACTAAGGAAAAGGAGAAAGCATTCCCTCTAAAATCAGAAATACAGACAAGAATATAAACTCTCATCACTCCTGTAATCATTACAAAATTCAAAACTTTAGTCAGAGCAATTAGGAAGAAAAAGTAATATAAATACTAAAGAAAGAAGTCAAACTATCCTTATTTAAAATGACTTCATCCTTTACACAAAAAATGCAAAGTATGTCACTAGAAAACTGTTATAACTCATAAACAAATTTCAGCAAAGGGACAGATAAAAAAATCAGTACATAACAATCAATAGCATTCCTAAATATCAATATGCATCTATGAAGAAAAATTAAATCAGGAAAACAGTATCATTCACAAGATGTTAAAAAGAATCCCTTAATGGCTAAAAATTAATCTAATTAAGAAAGAGAAAGATCTTTGTAGCAAAAGTATAATGTCTAAAAAAAAAAGACTGAGGGGACATTTGAAAATTGAAATACATCACTGTTTTTGATACAAAATTCCAATAAAAAAATACCAACAGCACTATTTACAGAACTAGAAAAATCAATCCTAAAATTTATATACAATCATAAGAGACTCAAAATAGCCAAGTAGAATACCAGACTTCAAATTATTTTGCAAAATTATAATATTAAAAACAGAATGGTACCAGCACAAAGCAGACCTTAACCCAAAGAACAGAACAAAACAGAACAGAACATGTAGAAATATCTGCAAGTACTTTCAGCCATTTGATTTTGGACAGTGGTGTCACTAATGAAGGCTGGAATAAAAAATTACCCCTTTTAAAAAATAGAGACAGAGAAACTGGTTGTTCACATGCAGAAAAAGAAGTGAGATCCAATCTCTCACTATGTACTAAAATCAAAATGAATAAAAAAACCTAAATATAAAAACAAATGCGGAATCTGCTGAAAGAAAAACAAATTGGCAAAACTATTGAGCACATAGGCAAAGATTTCCTGAAACTCAGTAACAAAAAATACCAGAGCAGGAATCAACAAATGCTATCATATCAAACTAAAAAGCTTCTTCACATCAAAACAAACAACCAAAAGAGTAGAGAGACAAATAGAAAGGGAAAAACACCATATCAACTACTTTTCAGGCAAAAAAACAAAACAAAACAAAACAAAACAAAACCTCACAAAACAAACAGAAAAAGAAGTACAAATAACCAATAAGTGCCTGAAAAGATGTTCAGCAATTTGGACCATTAGAGAAATGTAAAACAAAACACAGAAATTCCTGTTAAGAATGGTTACTGTCTTGGAATTAAAAAGCCTATGGTGGCAAGGGTATGGGGAAAAGAAATCCTTCACATATTTGATGGGAACATAAACTAGTACAATTACTTTAAATCAATACGGAGATTTCTGAAAAATAAAGACAGAAATTCCATTTGAACTAGCTATATGTCTTCCAGGAATCTTGCCAGAAGAGTTGAACTTGTCATATTAGAATGAATATGGATAATCATGCTTATAACACCACAACTCATAATATCTAACCTATGTAAGAAGTCTACATGATCACCAACAGGGGAATGCCAAAAGAAAATATGGTACAAAGATACAACAGATCACAACTTAGCCAAAAATAAAGATGGATTTGATTCATTTGTAGAAAAATGGGTAGATTTTTAAACTATAGCATTATGTGAAATCAGAGACAAAGTTAAGTATTACTTGGTCTATTCGAGATTTGAAATGTAAGCAATCTGAAAGTCAAAAAAGATAGTAAGGAACAGGTAGGTAGACCCTGTTAAGACACAAAAAAGATCTTAGCAAAGAAGAAAGGAAGGTGAGAGAAGAAAGGATATTAAAAATGATCAAGATGTGATATGTATATACCAATTCTGTAAGATGACTATAATTATCATCTATCCCACATATTCTAAAAATAATGAAACAAAAAACTTTGTTTCTTCTGAGGGAAAAAAATGACTGAAAGTATTTTTAAGTCCTCCATTTCTACAGCTATATTTGATCTTGAAAACTTTTATATTCTAGGCTGGTTTTTACAACATTTTTCTTTTTTTTTTTTTTCGGTACTTACAGCTTTCAAAAGAATTTTACTTGGTTCCCAATTACTGTGTGCTCATTTTCCTTTCCTGACCCCCTTTCCCTCTCCTCAGATTCAGTTTCTTCTATGCAGAAATGAACCATTAATGCAGAATCCAAATGAATTTTGATAATATCCAATTTAATTTTTCTAGCTTCTTTGGTCTACCCTCAATTAAAATATGGCAAAATGTAGTTTTACACTAGTCACAAAACACTCAACTTGAACCTAACATAAAAAGTTAAACAGTGTTATGAAAACTGTATTATGTGAACACTAAAAACTGGCTTAGAGGGGGCCTGGGATTTAGCTCAGTGGTGTTGCTCCTGCCTACCAAGTACAAGGTCTTGAACTGAGTCTGTGGAGGAGGGACATATAAACACAAAAGTAAGAAAACTGTATTGTATGTATTTTTAATATTTTACTAAATTATGACATGTTTAAAAAATTTTTCTAGCTGGAAGGATGGCCTTTTCTTAGTATACCTAAAAAAGAAAGAAGTGTCTTAATTTTTATGCTAAAAAACCCAAATCTAACTGTTGATGTTGTGTACAGTAGGCAATTTTTGTCTGTGATATCATCACATAGACAAGTCCTCTGCAATATAGGAACATCATGCTAAAATTGCTAACAAGTCAATACTAATATTTCCTAACCAGTAGTGGTGCTTCCTATGTATCCTTGTATAGTATGCGGGGACTTCCTTTCTAGGATTTGTATGTATGATGAATATATTTGTTCAGTTTATCAAAAACAGCTTAAGAGTTATAAAATACCTAATAACTATTTAAAAATAATTTTCATTTCCAAATATAAAAAAAATAGAACTGTAAGAAAAATATAATAAAACTATAACCATTACTGAATAACTTACGTTTTGTCTTAATTTCTTTTTGAACCAGTTGTATATACAAAAACAATCCTTTCAGAAATTTATTCCAACAAGCATAAGTTCCAAATATAATCTGGAAGCTTACAAAATGGAAAGACACAATCTCTCACCTCAAGCTGTAGTTTTTTTGCCCGTCGACTGTAGCTGCTGAACTTTGGCTGCACAGACTGCCTCAGAGTGATGCTATGAGGTTTGTACTCCTTATCTTTATCTTCACTGTCATATGGGTATGCATTACATTCCTGGATATAAAAAAAAGGAGTAGCAGAAATTGTCACCTTTCAATTAACAAATAAATGATTCCTTCAACTCTAACCTCTGGCAAACAAACTTGTGGCTCAAACAATTTAACTTTTTTTCGAATAACAGAATACACATCTTTAAAATTGCACTGTGCTTTTGCTTTAAAGAGAACTCTGCATATGAACCTGTTTTCTTGGGACCAAATCTAAGCACTGATTCATAAAATATATTAGTTTACATCAACCCCTTAGAAGAAAATAATTGTCCAGTACTCATCCAGTAAGCTCAACCAAGAAAAAAAAGTAAGAAACAAAAATAAATTACATCAGTTCCCAAACCACCTAAGGCCCTCACCACAAGACTGGCTCCAGACTGAAACATCTCATAAGGGTAAATGATGCGTTCATAGTGTGAGCGTAGAAGGGAGCCAATGTTTTTGCCTGGTGGGTAATTAAGGCGCTGAGCGACTCGGGCCCACCGTCTGTCCTTGCAGATGGCTTCATATCCACCTTCCTCCACTACTATCTGAAAATACAACCAAGGGTATAAATGAACTGTGTGTACAATGCAGAGACCTAAACAATAGCAATGAGGTTGAAAGTAGGGCATGCTCCTTTTCTACGACAATAATCACTGGACTACTAATGGAATCAAAGATTATATAAACAAATGCTGCCAGCCTGTGTTCTTTCCTTCCTGGCATAGAGATATAACTTCTATGCTATACAACAGCTTATGGCTAAGGCAACCTACGTGTCTAATTGTATGGACTGTTCTTACCTTACTAAGGCTGTACAGGTCCAACATCCTCCGTTCGACATTAGGAATCTTCAGTGAAGAGCCTTGGATTTCCCAGAATTTTGCAATCTGATCCAAATAATTCAGTTTCACTCTAGTCTGAGCCTGGGGAGAAGAACCCATGAGATAGTCTCATTCATTAGCCTGACTTTAGCCTACTCTGAAATGGAGGAATAACTATTGTTCTATAGAACTTTTAACTTTCCACTAATGTGCTAGGGCTCAGACTTCATGGCTTAACTCATTATAAATATCCATAAAAAGTTCAAAGAAGCTAAGGCTTTAATCAAACAGGAACTAAGAAGACAATGCTTTAAAGATCTATCATCTTTCAATTTAAAGAATCGTGCTTGGTCTTAGGGATATAAGACCAAGTCTACGAGGGTTCAATTTAATATTTTCTTAAGATATCTACCCATCTTGCCTGACTTGCAAGCACAAGGTCCCAAGATCAATCCCTAGTAAAAAAAAAAAGAAAAAAGATATCCACCCAAGATCTACAAATAAAACAAAAGAATTAAAATATTTTTCTTCCTTATGTCAAAATGTGGGCATAAAATTCACCTGTAAATTACTCCTTTCTTACCCACTCATATGAAACTTGCAATCAGTGGTGACAGTTAAAGCGCGAGTATCAAAAGGAAGTGTCAAACTATTCAACTGTTTTTCCATACTTAATACTAAACTCAATATGAGTTTATGCCTGACTGTTTTAAAAAACTACCTTTACTTCTAATAGTCTATTTTATTGAAGAGAAATGTGTTTCCCTATTTCAGTCATGACCTTTACATCTGTTGAAAATTCAAAATGATAAAATAGGTGAACATGGAAAAAAAAAAAGAGAAACGTATATTTCTCTAACCCCTGAATATTACACAGAAGAAAAACACAACAATTATTTTCAGAAATTTAGGATATTTTACAGAGAACTTTTCCACAGATCAATAATCTGATAAGTGGTAAGACTAGAGCTAAATATATTTTATTTTGAAGTAGGTTCTTAGCTACATCATTATAAAATTACATGGCAAGAGTAGAGTTCAAGTTTCTTTATAAAGTGTACATCCATTTAATAAAATATTACCTCTAGTTCATTTAGCCTTTGGATGCGTGGAGTAAATCTGAAGTTGTCAACTTCTACTGCAAAAGGAGGCTGCCAGTCCTAGAGGGAAAAACAGAAACTGGCAATTAAGGCATAACAGAGAACATGATAACTAAAATGTCTTTTTCCCACTGTGAGAGTCCTGCTTTTTAAGAATTTTGGTTGCTATTTTTGTTTCCAACAGTCTAGAAATCTGTCTCTTGAGAAAAGAAGGAATTGAAAGCAAAACAAAAATAAAACAAATCTCCTGATTCAGTACTTTTTGTTGTGTCCTAAATAAGACTTAAAAAAAGAGGAATCTCCACAAGCCTAGCCTGATAAGTTTAAAAAAAAAAAAAAGAGAGAGGCATATCTGTATAAAAATTAGTTCATTTGCCTTCTGAGGAATGTTCTTATGAAAATAAATATATCAAAAAGTAACTTTTTCTTGTTCAAACCTAACCTATTTTCTCCTGGAAATCTGGAAAAGTTGCACTGTGATAAAAGTATAATTAGCAATATCAAGAATAGCATGAAATCATACTGTAGACAGGATATTTAAGAAGAGAGCAATAGACTCAACAAAAAGGTTAACATCTACTCTAGATATTATGTGTTTTGTTTAACATGATGGGCCAAGCTCATATGAGTTTCCACTTTTATTAACTACATCAAACTTTTACCAGTTACAATCAGAAATTTCAAACTAAGAGGGCAGTCTACTCAAACGAATCATTAGCAAGAACTCCACATTTCCACCATTTTTATGTTTCTTATATACCTCCTTGCAATATGAGAGAACGAAAATATTCCAGATATTCAAATTCCTGTAATTTGTTCACTGCTTTCGTTATAAATTAAGTACTTCTGAGCATATTAAAGTTTTCTACAGGATGCACAGATATATGTTTAATATTCCGGGGTTAAAAACGGATGCAATAATGGCACAATGTAGAAACGTTTCGAATCTTCATAATCACATAGAATATATCATTGGGATAAGTTTTCCGTAATGTCTCCAAATTGTATTCAGTTAGTAAAAAGAGAATTACATGGTTTCAAACAGGTACAGGTTTGCATCCCTAAATCCAAGGCCTCTTCAAACAGTACATTAACCCCTTGGTCAATTACAATACAACCCATTTACCTTTAGGAAGCTTACCGCAGGTGGGCGGATCTTGCAAATGCCAGACTTCTCGGCAATGGGCCTGATTTTGGCTATATATCCGAGGGGGTCTCGGAATTCGGCCCAGCTGGGCTCAAACACTGGGCACTCCGGCGGCGGCAGGAAATCGTCAGAATCCCGATCCATTTCTGTCCTGAAAACTAAGCTGCACAATAAACTTCGGCGTTTTTTCAAGTAAAAACTGCACCTAGCAACTTTACTTTCTTCCAAATCCCGAGATTCCTACCATTCTGGTACCTGTTCACCAATGTTTCCAGATCTGAGTTGTACGACCACCATCTTGACCCTGAGCTTTAGCTTTTTTTACGAAAAGTGTCACTCCGCGGATGGATTTTTAAATGTTATCTTCAAATTCGAGGGTCGTCCCACATTTTAAGTAAAAGTTGAGGACACAGGAGCGAGTTTACCTAAGAAAAACAGACACAATTTGACTGTTTGGCTGAATAAATTAAATAGTTCTCAAAGGAAGTGAAGAGTAAGTTTATACGCAGTGTCGCCGGATCTTTTTTAAATGGAGCCACTGCGCATGGTACGCATGCGCAATTAAAGGGAAAGCGTACTAAAAAAGAGGCGAGGTAGAGAAATACTGTGTGATGAGCTGGAGCTTTTTCTACCAGAAAGTGGCAATACTTAGTTGCACAACAGCTGGTGTAAATATCCTTTTTACACCCTCCCCCACCCAGTAGAGGCCACTTGCTAAAACCCTTTCCCTGCCTCCACCTTTATCCTTAAGGGGAGATAATTTTTAAACAGTTTTAACATTTTTATTGAACATTATTTCACTTAGAGTGCACCACTATGCACATTATCATTGCATTTTTACACACTTGTTTTCATTTCGAGACAGGAAAAGGAAAATGATAAATATTTATAGAAATTTATCAAATACATAAAATTTACTAGAGAACGCACAGATACAATGCAGACGTGAGTACTGGTAATAATACTACATCTTCCATGCAACATTTTAAGTGCCACACTGAAACTAAAAGAACCACACTGCCAAAAATTTAGTACTGTTATGACGTGACAAAACGGCAAAACCTAGTTGTCTTTAAAATAGAATTGTTAATCAGAAAATAATCAGCTACCTAAAACAATATACCAATACCAAATGATCTGCTCCCATTACCTACAGGAATACCTTATTTTTAAGGAGAAAAAATCTCGATCAAGACACTACCATTTGTAAGTATTACTCAGACTGCACCTTGTCTTCTTTGTTCATCGGCTTTTTTAAATGGAAGATATGTAATGACAGATACATTTCCCGTTGTAGGTTTCTTGTTTTATATTTTAGATAAATTAAGAATCTTTCATGGGTTATTTTAAATGGTTACAGTGTTCCACCTGTTAGTTTATTGATAATATAAAATAACAATTTGCATCTATGTAAGTGAAAATTCAGAGGTTTTATTATCTTATTAAAATCTATTTTGCCCAGTTACTCTATCACTAAAATCATTCTGAGCCCCAAAGTTTATACTTTCTAGAATTTATGTTGCAGTGTTACGTATATTTTTGAGTCAATGTATAAAACTTATGAAGTATTTGTTTCTTTGAAATTAAGAATTAAAAAAAAAAGTTTTAGGCCCCCCTATAGAGAACTCTGGAAAATAAATTTTCTTTAGTTTAGTTAATTTGAATGTTGTTTCATTTTATACTATTATCATTTTGTTCTTTCATTTTATGCATTTTATCTAGGTTATCAAACTCATTGACTTATTATGCTAGTTTAAATATATCATTTCTGTTTAAATGTGTCTTTTTTCAATTCTCTGTTCCTATTTTACCAACTTTCTGTTTTCATCTATTTCATAAAATTAGGCTATTATTTAACATACACTCTCAAAATACTATAGTATTTTCATCTCCATTCTTCTATATTCTTGCAATCACTAAAGTGATTTCTATTACTATGGATTTTGCACATTTTGTTAAAATGAGATCATGTAATATGTGGCTTATAATTTCCTTATTTTCAGCTTTTATCCCTTCATCTAGGGTTTCATATTGCACCCATGTTGCATTCATAAGAGTATTTTTGTTTAGTCTCAAGGCCAGATGATACTTGAAATAAAATTTACCATTTTAACCAGTATTAGATATAAAATTTATTTATTTTTTTCTTTAATTGAGTTTATTGGTACATTTTAAGGATACAGTAAGTTACATTCATTGTTGGGATCTTGTACCTCTACATGACAGGTCTTGGTTCTCATTTTTCCCCCTTGTCCCCTCCCCTCCCCATCTGCAAACACTTTATTTCCATCTTTTCATTATCTCACATTATTTTCTTTTCCCTGATTACCCTTCCCCTACCCCTCCCACCTTCCTAACAGCTTTAGCCCCTTTCTTCCCATTTCACAAGTCAGTAATCTTATTAGGATCTTATGTATTATTACAGTTTATTCACACCAGAGAAACTATTCAGTATTTACACATGTGTGACTTTTTATTTCACTTAGGAGTATATCTTCAACATGTATCCATTTTCCTATGAATGAATCTATTTTCTCATTATATATGGCTGAATAATATTCCATTTTATAAAAAAAAAAACACATCTTCTTTATCCAGTTTCCAACTGATGGGCAAATGGACTGTTTCCAGGTTTTAGCTATTACAAACTGTACCACTATAAACATGGGTGCGCATACATTGGAACCCTTCTCCATTGTTTGTGGGAGTGCAGACTGCTACAACCACTGTGGAAATCAATATGGAGATACCTCAAAGAGCTTGGACTAGAGGTTCAATTTGACCCAGCCATCCCTCTGCTGGGTATCTTTCCAAAACAACTACAATTTATTTTAAGTATAGAGATTGGAATAATATTCTATTGTACAGATCTATCACATTTTGCTTAATTATACATGAATTGGTGTTTCCCCTTTTAGCTATGGAAAGTTATGTGCATGTAAGAATATTTGTATGTGTATTATAGGTAAATTCTTATTTGTAGACTTTCTGGGTTATAAAGCTACTCTAGGTTTAACACCAAAGTATTTTTATTACTTTAAATTGCAAGAATGGAAGCAGGTTTAAATTTCTTAATACCCTCATCAACACTTTTTCTGATTGACTTACTAATTAAAGAGTTAGAGTATAAATATAGTATCTCCTTGTAATTTACTATATATTTCCTGAATTACTAATGAAGTTGACTATCTTTTCATATCTTTTTTGGCCCTTTGTGCATTATCTTTCAAGAGATGTTTCATCATCTATTGAAGTTCTTTGCCCATTTTAAAATTTGATTGTCTTTCTGTTGTTTAATTGCAAATGACTTTTTTAATATTAAGAAAATAATTCTTCAATCAGATATATTATTTCAAATATTTTAGTCTCATTTTGGATGTTATCTTTTTATTTTTTATGATAAGCTTTGGACAAAAAATGTAATAATTATCTCTAAGTTCTTTCATCACTTGGGCTTTCAGCGCTGAAATAAAGAAGGCTTCATCTAACCTTACCACTTCTTGGCAAGGAATTACCACTTCTTGAATGGTGAAAATGAATTTCTAGTATTTATGTACCAGCCACTTTATCATATTTTGTTATAGCATCTGTGGTGAAATAACAAAATTTTCTTTGTTTTCCCATTTGGTATTATTTTAGTTGGTATTGTTGTAAACACCTGTTATTAGATGTTTTTAATCACTGTTGACTCCCATCAAAGTATTTTTTACATCTACTGAAATAATCTCTTAGGTTTTGAACTCTCTTCTTAGTTCCCATTTGGTAAAATAATATTGTTTATAATATATAGTGCACATGATCTATTATCAGCACTTGTGAATACAGTATTAGCTTTCTGCTAAATTTAAATTAAGAGATTGAGAGCAAGATGGCCCTTTAGTGAAACACACTTGCAATTTATAAAGATATAAATTTGAACAACTATTCATGCAACCCACATTTACAAGATGTAAAGAAGAAAACTTAGAAATCATAGTGCCTTATTTTGGAAAGCTGCCAAGAATTAATTCCTCCTGTAATTGCAAGTAGTGAAACATGAGGATGCTACCTGCTAGAGATACAAAGATTTGATCTTAGATCTTAGACCTGAAAATCAGTACCAGGCTAACAAGAATGAAACCCAATGCTATATAGAATTATATATCCTATATTGAATCCTATATCTAGATCTTCACATGCAGACAGAGCCCCTGAATCCTTATTAGCTAGGAAGCTGACTGCCACAACCAATTGCTCAGCCATATAGGGAAAAGGACCCCACTACTATAAAGTGAGGCAGGAAGTTGATAGAAGTCAGTACTGGTAGTATTGCAAAGAAAGCCAGCACCACTTAGAGTGTAGAAACAGCATAGCATAAAGAAAGAAATTGTCTACCTGGGGAAGAAAATCAGGTGAGCATCTAATTATTGATACAAGCCTTGGATTGCTTCCATCACGGTGAGAATGTAGTAATACAAAATATTGTGGAGCTTAATATGGGCTTGTGATAATGGACCTATTCTTGATCTATGTAGAAGCAGTTTATCTGGATAAACTACCATTTTAAATACTCTGTTCATTCTGAACAACATATTAATAACTGTAAATTTTGGGAAAGCCTACATTTATCTTGTCTTTGTTGAAATAGTTATAAAATGCAAACAGCAGTTTGTGGAACCTGAACATAGGGAGACATATGCTATTAAAAGAAGTGTTCATAGGCCTAAGGAAAATAAGTAGCCAGTCTGGAACTTATGGGAGAGAGGAAGCATAAAGATAAATTACAAAGACTAAAAATAGATACATAATTTAGTGTGCAGATAATATACACATATGTCAAGAACTTTCAAGGAAAAATGACTTCACCTAATTAACATAAAATGAGTATATATATATATATATATATATATATACAATTGATGTCTGAATACTCTTCAGTGGAATATTAATAATAGGCACTTTAAGGAAACGCAGGCTAAAGACAACACAGAGCAAAGAAACTTAGAGATTGAAGAAATTAATAAAACCAAACAGAAAGGCTAAAGCTGAAAATTACATTAAGTAAAATTTACATTGTAATAGAAAACAATGTTATAAAAATAGATCAATGAAGGAGGAATAAATAAAATTGAAGATAGGCTATTTGGAAATACACAGAAAAGAAAAAAATTTAAAGAATATTTTTTAGGAGTTTATAACTCTGAATACATACATTCTATAAATAAGGCACATCCGAATAAATAATGTAATGACCTGTCTCTAGGCCCTAGAGAAGCACAAAGTCCCAAACCAGTAGTGTATGAGAAGTAATAAATATCAGAATGAAAATTAATTGATTTAATGAAACTAAAAAGTCATCAGTTAATCAAAACTGGTCATTTTAAAAGATAAAGATAGACAAAACTTTGGTCAGTTTTATTTAAAGGAAGAAAAGGTTCAAATCAGTAAATACAGAAATATAAAAGCAAAATGATAAGCCATTACTTAAATCCAGAGAATTATCAGAAATAATTTCCAAAACTTATATTCCAAC